CTCTCTCTCTCTCTCTCTCTCTCTCTCTCTCTCTCTCTCTCTCTCTCTCACTCTCTCTGCCGCTGCCCCCTCGGCCAAAGTTATCAGGGTGATTCAACCGGCGCTGAATTTTTCCCTCCAATTTCGCCCGACGCGGCGGATTACGGCGCTTTAACCCTTTAACCCCGCTTGAGCATTCTCGCGGCGAGCATTATTTCAGATTCCAATCCGAGATCGTTCCATAGATACGCCCGATAGTCCCCGGAGGCTTGCGCCACGGCAGCGAAAAAACGGGTCTCATTAAGACTCGCATAACAGACACGCGATAACATTGATCAGCCGCGCGAGTATTATCAGCGCGAGAAATTCAATTGTACCGCCGCGAAATAATTCGACCTTCCATTCGTGCATCTGCGTCGCTGTGTACTCGAGTTGCATCTCGTATTGTAAGAACAGGAAGTACTTTCAATTGTTCGTCTCTGTACGCAGAGACATGGACTCAAAATGGACTGCACGTTATAACGACCGAGCTTACATTCAATCTTATTCCAAAAACTTCAATTATTTGCGACTGAAATGAAATGTAATTTAATTTCGCATCCGCGTCGACGTTTAATTCAACTTTGCACCTGCATCGATTTGCATAAAATTGCAAATTATAGATAATCGGCGGAATTGCGCCTTAACTTTGACTTCAATGCTTTGATTTTCTTTTTACCCCGTTGTAAAACAAAAAAGTGCGCAGTCACTTGCGATGACACTGTTTTCCACGTAACTATAAATTATGAATAATTTTCTTTATAATGTTTAGCACATAGTACGTTAAAAATTTTGTGGAAATGATTTTAAAAGATGTTAAATGTTCCGCGAAGCTCCTTTGATGAAACGCGCAAGCGTTTTGAGAAAAATGAAAAAATTGTAAATTGTAAAAAATTATACAAGTTGAAGGCAAGTGAAAGGCAAAAATTCTATTTGCGTCTCAAAAATTTCACTTTGAACATTTATTATAAAAAATGGTTATTGTGTCGAAAAGATCCTACATTGCGCCCTAGAAAATCTTTTTTAAGACTGTGTGTCAAATTCCAAGTCAATTGGACAATTGGTTTTCGAGATATCGCGCACACTATCAGTGCGCGTTATCGTATTCAGCAAAAGAGTTTCGCGGGACATCTTCTCTCTCTCTCTCTCTCTCTCTCTCTCTCTCTCTCTATATATATATATATATATATATATATATATATATATATATATATATATATATATGTCGGCGATTTTTTAACATCTTTTAAAACCACTTCCACAAAACTTTTTTTCATCTAACCATGTTTTGAATACTGTAAATGGAGAAAATTATTCATAATTTACAGTAGAGAAATGAAAGGGCAAATAAGAGTTTAAGCACGGCTGTTATAGTGCCATAAAAACTAATAAAAATTAGTGACACACGTCTCACTTTTCAAGTGGATATTTTATTATTTAAAAGTAATGAAGAAATTCAATTTGAATTTATAATTCTGTCACTAATTTTTATTAGTTTTTATGGCACTATAACAGTCGTGCTTAAACTCTTATTGGCTCTTTTATTTCTCTATTGATTATTCTTATAAAGAGTTCTTTTTTCTTATTCAATCATAATTTATAGTATTGCGTTGGAAAAAATTAGGGATATCTGACGTTTTCTTCAGCGCCTCCGTGCGGCGATGCCGTATTTTTAGCATTGTCGAATAAAATGCGCGGACTCCCTCTCTCTCTCTCTCTCTCTTTTCCTTCGTCCGATCTCGGTGATCGCGGTATTGTGCGGGAATTCGTGACGTATCGCCGGGAATAAATGTCAATTGACACGCGGACTCCTCGCTCTTTCCCACAGCGCGGTCGCGCGCGCGTTCTCGCGTCGAAACGCGAATCCGCCTCATGAATGAAAGGCGGCCGCTTCGTCGCTTTTCGCGGAACGCGATGCGGAGGAATTGACCGTTGGATCAAACCGGTATTGTCCGCTTAAGCCATTCTCGTCTCGAGACGTAAAAGACAGGGCGAGATGAGGGGGGAATGTAGACGCGCGTTTACGAACTACGCGGTTACTTCCTTCATTCGTATGTGATCCAATTCTCCCGAATACTCCCGAGATCAAATTCTAAAATCGTCCTCGTACGCCGAATCGCGGGTGTAACCCGGACAATGGAAAACCCTCCGCGTGAAAAGCGATAAGAACTGAGAGAAAAATTCAGTTTATGTCTGAGAAAATACACGCGGATGTAGAAAGTATCACTCGTCCCGAAATTATCTGCCGGTGTCATTGTTTTTAACCCGTCTTCACCTTGACTCTTCAAATAACGAGGCAGATTCAGCAATTGTCAAATTCTAAAAAATTTACATGTTTGTAGAAATAAAATACAAATGTGAAAAATAATTTGGAAGTTCCGAAGGGTGATGGAAGATAATTTTTCGGAGAAATTCCTCTTTATCTTTTTATCATAAAATATTATAAAATACAATATTCTACTATACTTTATATATAATATTTCTTCAATATTTCTCAATCTTCAATAATTCTCTCATGACTTCAGGAGAATTAGCAAAAAATATTAAGAATATAATATTTCTTTTTTGAAAGGGTACTTGCATGCTTAAAACAGTCTTTCAGAATTCTTCATATGTACTTTTCTCCCGCAAAGTTTCAGATCCTTTAAAATTTACGAGTTGCTGAATCTTTTTTGCGAATATCAGATATATGTGTACACAGGAAGTTTCCCGAAAATACTAGTCGCGCCTCTAATTTGGAATAAAATTTAGTGCCATAAATGAAGTTGAATTACATTGTGGCTTTAACCTGTTCTGCATCACTGTAACCCGTTCTAACGATTAATTATTTAGTAGATCTAAGCGAACTTTGTAACATAGTGCATTCTCGCACAGCCTGATTTCCGGAAGCTCGCTTAGGTCTCCTAAATAATTTACCGTTCGAGAATTTACATGGGCACAGAAAGTGCTGTAGCACTACGATACAACTAATTATTACAGAATCATTCAGAATTGATAAGAGAATTTAACCGCTTAAAGGCCACTAGAAAATAATTGAAAATAAAAATTATTATTTTCATTCTGAGAAATATATCGCCTTTTCCCCCTCTTCCTCTCTCATTGCTTCGTTCTATAAATTCAAGAGAATTGGCGTAAAACTTTTCGTTAAAGTATTAACGACGTATAACGACGTAACAACAATGCAAATGATATGGAAGTACAAATTATATAAATTGTATCGATGAGAAAGTGACGAGAATACGAAACTTCTCTAGATGCAAATTACGTGCTCCGTATTCATACCCTTGCTTAGA